ATGTAAAGTTTTAATTATATTTCGGGGGTTTTAACCCTTTTAATCGCAGTTTAATTACATGTGCGCACCGTTTTTTTTAGCCCCCCGAAACAAAACGAAATATTTAAAAAAAAAAACATTTGAAGTAATATTTGATTGTTATTATAATTAGGCCTTTAGATGGACTAAAGATTGGCACCAACCTTCATTTCGATCGCCTTTTATTTTTTTTCCGGACCAGAAAATGGTCTCCAGGCGGCAAATGCTCCTCCTCTAGGCCGGAATCGGTGCATGCTCCCGGGTTGACTCGCGACGATGACCGGGGCATGTTGCGTCGGACCCCTTTTTCCAACACACACATCCAGTACCACGTCACAACAAATATGTCATTTCCTGTTGATTAAAAAAAAAAAATCCAACCTCAAACGGTCCTGGGGCCGAAAATTCTCCCGCACGATCAGCGGGCGAAGCCGCTGCAGCACGCCGGAAATGACGCTTCATTCCCCGCAGGTCTCTTTAAGCAGCCCGCTGTTTTCCAGCCCCGGGTCAAATGTGGAGCAAGGGCACCACCCGGTGGACAAATAAAAAAATTACAACTCTAAGGCCAGTACTGCAAGCGGAAGCGGAAGCATTACCGATCACGATCAATTTGACCGTAATTTTTTTGCCGTGAAAAATAGCGTTTATAATGGGTTTCAATGGGGCACAAATCGACCACTAGGTCCGATAGCGTAAGTTTATCGATAGCTTAGCCACTGAAGCTAATTTCCGGAAGTCATACTGAAATTTTAACAGTAAATGTGACCGAACTTTTTTTTGCAGACTTTCGCTATATTCCATTCAACACAGTGCAAATGGCAGGTAATCAAAATTTGAAAATAGCCACAAATCGACCCAAGACCCTCCAGGGTTAACGTCGCGGTCAGCCTCTTGGCAACCTCCCTGACCACTTTGGAGGGGCACCCGGTCTCTTTTAGTCAGTAACAAAGTGTTAACTAAGCAAGTGTCAGAAAAGTCGTGTTAGACCAGCTGAACTTTATTTGATTGTAGTCAGAATCTCTTTAACCGATGGCAGGTGTGTGCTGACTACTGTTTGGCATGATTTTGAATGTCATTGGTTAATTTTCTATGCAAACCAGTTATAAAAGGACGTGCAACCACATTATTTCATTATTTCATTATTTATTTATTCCCTCCGAAACGTTAACAGTTTGTTTTTAAATTGAACTATACAAGTTACAAGTCATATTAAAGAAAGCTCTCACCCCCCAACCGGTCACGGCAGATGGCCCCGCCCCTCCCCGAGCCTGGTTCTGCCGGAGGTAACTTCCTGTTAAAAGGGAGTTTTTCCTTCCCATTGTCGCCAGGTGCTTGGTTATAAGGGGTGTCTGATTGTTGGGGTTTTCTCTGTAGGTCTTTATTTTTGACTATAAAGACCTTGATGTGACTATTGTTTGAATACTAACAACATTGAAATGAATTGAATGTTTCGTCTTGGTCTTACTTGGCATTTTAACAGGACTGCTTTCATAAGTTTGATTGTGTATTTAATCAGCAAGTGTAACATGATGCATTTCTGATTAGCGGGTTCATATTTTTGCAGTGTAGAGAACATGAGCACTTTTCTTCTTAATTTACTTACATCTACTGTGAATCTTTTCATAAATTGATTAATGTTCTTTCTGTCCTTCTGTGTTGCTGGTGCACACTAGTCACACTATAGTTGTTTTTATACTTGCTGACTAAAAATTATATTGATTCTGCACACTGGGATGAAAAAAACTATTCGGTGTCATTTAGTGTTTTGAAAGCTTTGAAAGCTCTTTTAAAGCTTCTAGTTTGAATAAGATAGGAGCTCATAATAAAGCAAATCTAAAGTGTTAACGTGTTTTATGAAAAATGCTCACATGATGTCAGAAAAAATCTATCTAGATTGTGAAGCTGACGGTGTATCAGAGTGGACTTCACAGCATCTCTACCCCCTACATCATTTTGTTCATGCCCAAATCCCTGAGCCTTTTTATCAAAACCCACTTGTTCCTGTTCTTCTCCTTCCCTTCATTGCAAATCCTCCCAGTGAAAAACACAGGAGAGAAAATGAGAGGCAGAAATGGAGGGGAGCAAAATCTCTCAGAGGAGAAGGGCCCATTAAGCGAGCCCCCTTTTTCTCCAAAGAATGTGCCCAGAGATGGAGGGAGATGAAAGAAGTAAAAGGAAAAAAATGCTCTCTATACTTTCTAAAGATAGATCTTTCTTTTACTCTAAGAGGGAGGCTAACAGGGAGTCAGGTTGTGGTTTGGATTGAAGGAAAGAGAGAATAGATGGAGGAGGGCAGGTTGTTTCAAACACAAAAGCAGATGAAAGAAGTCTTTTGGCAGAATAGACAGCGTGATGAAGCCTCACTGCACTGCACACACACACAGACGAGCAAACGCCATCTAACCACCGCAGACCTCTATTAGCCAAGAACCCAGATTTGCAGCAAGCTCTCAAAACACCGTTATCAAAATCATTGTTTCAGGCATTTTTTCCACACTGCAGATATTCCCCATATTGGCTTATTTCATCATGCTGCATCTTATAAAATGCTGTTTTGTGCCTTAGTCAACAAGTATTTTAGTTATTTTGTGCTTGCATATCCATTTCCAGTGTGCCGAGCCCCTCTCCCTTCCATATCAATCGACTCGCGTATGATTTACACATTATATGACTCATTCTAGCAGCCTTGTGCCATAACCCAATCAATGTGGGGCTGGATTCAAATAGAGGAGTGATATACGGGTGTATTTATGTTGTGCTACCCGTGCACTTTTCCCCTGCACTCTCTCTCACTCTCTATCGAACTTTTGCAAGTTTCTGGCGTCTTTTCATGCGGCCCTTATAAATCAGCCTCCCTCCCTCCCTCCCTCTCCCTTCTCCATCACAGACTACTTTGAAGCCTTTTAATAATTCTAATTAGATAATGGAGCTGATTGCATTCATAAAGCCCTGCGGTAAGCATTTCTAGCCCTGAGGCCATCTCTATTTTTTCTCTCTTTCCTCCTCCTGTGGAAATATTATCGTACAAGCACTCTAACAGGTCCTCGGGCCCCTCTGGAACAGCGAATGGTGCCAAAGAGCCATCCCTGTCTCTTCCTGAATAAAAAAGATCCTTTTTTATTTTTCTCTTTACTAATTGGAGAAGGGAGATAAAATGGGGCTACGGGGAGTTTTAATCTCCTTTCAGATCCATGCGATGATTCTTCTCAGGATCCTCGCCCGAGGGCTTTCAGCCAGGATCATTAGAAAGCGTTCAGCAGTCATCCAAAGAGCGTCCAAACCTCTGGTTTTTATCCTGATTTTTTCTTCTTATCTTTCTTTAAGTGATTTAATGTTTTGTCAATGCTTGCAGTGAAAAAGGAGAATTTAGAGCGTGGAGGGTCTGTAGTCAGGCAGCAGATTTACAGACGTGTCGTCTTTTGCATTTCAGTAGGAACCTTTAAAACATAATTACAGCACGGCTACCAGGTTCATTAACTTCTGAATAACTGCACTGTTTTTACATCTAATTACACGAGAGTATTAATTCATTAAAGTCTGCTGCTGACGCTCTCTTTAATCACTTTTTAGTTTTGCAACCTTTCATGCTTTCAGCTTGATTGTAAATTTAGATACAACCACGCGTTGAGATTTTATCTTACTTTAGTGTATAGCTTTGTTTTTTATTTCTTAATGAATTAAATGTTTCTTCTGTAAATCTGTTGGAAGCAGAGAGGCTTGATGATTTTGAAACACGGCCTCAGATGAAGCTGAGTTTAGTTCACTCGCTCCGCCTGAGTAAAATCAGCCTTGAGGCTGTAAACTTCTTCATCCCCGGCCTAAGCCACATTGCTGTTATATTGCTTTTGTGCACTTTCTCTGCCTCTGTCAAGATTTGATGGTTGTCTTTCAATGTCATGCACTTTGAGGACATTAAATATTGATGTCAGTCAAATAACTACATTTAGAAACGCTCCACTGTTTGCTTAATTGAATGCACTCAATTAGCATAGGATTTGTTTGTCGTTTTAATATTTGAAATGAAATTAAAATTTGGTTAATTCCTTTAGTTTGTTCTCTAATTGGGTTTGAAAATCAATTTTTAGAAAACAGTCTTTCATTTAAACTCAGTTCTACGACATTCATGAGCGAATAGTGCAGCAGGTGTCATTTAAAGGAATTCATCTGTAAGCTTTGAAGAAAATATGCAAAGTTTGTAAATGCAGTTTATTGAAGGTGTAATCGCAAGATGCCAAAACTGTCTCACAGACGAACAACTTTATCTAATTGAGGAAATGAAGCTTTTTTCATATGTTCTAAATGAGTTTTTCACCTTTTATCTTCTGAATATCTATTACAGTTTCACTTCATAATGTGTTTTTGATTCCTCTGCTCTGGCAGTAAATGATTATCAGCTGCTCAGATATTGCTCCATTTATTTCTGGGGACTGTAACGTCAATTTCCTTGAATAAAACTGAAGAAGAATCGAGCCCTCAAAACCTCCAAAGCCTTGCACTCTGGCCTGCCTCGAACATTTAAAGTGGTATTTTAGCTTGTTGAATTTCACGGTCTTGGAATAAAAAGAAAATAAACTGTGGTGAATGTGAAGGTAATAAAGGTAATATTTTTCTATGAAACTGTTTTGTGTGCTTTCATTTTTTAAAATTCAGCCTCCACTCGCGTCTTTCTTTTCATTTCTAAGCAAATAAAAAAAGAGCACTGATGCTTATCACATAATGGAAGTTGCTGGCTTTACGCAGGTAGTCTGGGAGAAGAGTTCAGTAAGACTGGATGTTGTTTTTCGCCGATAGACCGAGCGCGGAACAAAACAGTTTGGAGGAGCTTTCTTCCCTGATCTCTTCAGAAAGTTTAAACTCTTTGAGCTGTTTGATACCCATCTACAAATGCAGCGTAGACACGGAGCGACGTTATCGCGGCGGGACTCTCGAGTAGCTCCAGACGGTTTAGATTAATACTGTTATTCTTTCTGTCTCTTTAACAGATCCCAGGCCAATAGATTTTGAAAAAGATCCTGTTTTCAACCACAAGCCCCCCATCAACGAAGGTGAGGTTATCCTCCTCTCTCCTCGCAGCCTCGGGCTATACTGGCTGTTTTACAAGTCTCACCCAAAGACAAGTGAAATTGCTCTTTAAGGACAGGCGTGCCTATGGCTCCTCCAGAAAAGAGCCCGTGGCAACGGTGACAGACAATCTCTGCTGTGTGCAAAGAAAGGAGACGAGTGTGAGCGAGCTGGCAAAAGCGCATGTCTGCGTGTGCATACGGTGTGCGTTCTTCCTCGTCCTCCTCCTCTTTCATGTTCCACGGCAGACAAAGTGAGACAGACAGCTTCCTTCTGGGCACCGAGAAAAACATCTGTCTGTAACAATCACAGATTACATGTGTGTGTGTGCCCACTGCTCCTTGTTTCTTTCAGCCCCTTGACAGAAACAAGACGAGAGTACTCAGCTTTTAGCTCGCTAAACAAGTCTGTTTACTGTCTGTTTACAGCTTTCCTGCTTGTCTGCAGTGTGTGCTTCCATAAAACACTCCAAATGCAGCACTTAATTGTGGATTGGCTCGTTCGTGTGTACACATTCATTATTCGGATTAGCCCGATTGCCTTACTAAGTAGGAGTGCACACTTCAGCCCTCACCACATGCACCAGATCGTACCTTTAGAGTAATTAATTGCATTACGTTTTCCAAAGTTGCTAATCAATAACAACTGTGGTCTTGAATACATCAGCTTGCTAAGATTTCCTATTTTCTCTCCAGACTATGTGTTCCCAGGGTGGCCATCCTCCTTCTCCACCCCCTCCTCCAACATGGACCCCCCCTCCGTCACCTTGGTGTCAGAGAAGGACAAGGACAACGCTTGGCTGTACACGCTCGACCCGATCCTCCTCACCATCATCGTGATGAGCTCGTTAGGCGTCCTGCTGGGAGCGGTGTGCGCGGGATTCCTCCTCTACTGCACGTGCTCCTACAGCGGGCTCTCCTCGCGCTCCTCCACGACACTGGAGAACTACAACTTTGAGCTGTACGACGGGATCAAGCATAAAGTTAAGATGAACCAGCAGAGGTGCTGCTCAGAGGCATGAGAACTCAGAGGGGAACTCTGGAGAGTGATGGTGGGGGAAGACGCGAGCCCCCGCAAGTCATCTTGTTCTCAGACAATTTGAAAACGAAGCACTATCTGTAATCTCGACCCCCGTGTCCCCTACCTAATGCCCCGCTAACCCCTTGCTCTGATGTCTAACGGGGTGAACCCGGAGTTTCCCCGATTGTCTATGTGCCAGTGGGAACTTGTGATCTTTATCTCCCCTACATGCTACGAGGCCTAAACTAGGGGAACATGTGACCCCCGTCTCCCCCCGCCTATAGTCCATTTTCTCCTCTGCCTGCAGGAGACAGCCTGCTCGATTATAAAAGCCTGTGATTGAATGAAGGAATGAAAAAAAAAGAGTATTAATGATTGATCTACCATTGAATATTACCCACGAGCCACTGGGATGACATCGAGAAGAATGGACTACAGCACCTGTGACAGTCTGGACATTTGGACTACAAATGGCAGCACAGTCTGGGCTAAAATGTTGGGATTCTTGATGAAGAAAGGAATTTGATGATCCGCCCTCGTGACTGACGCAGACGTGAAACTTCAGCGCGAACAGCAGAAGCATGTTCCACAGGGCACCAGTGGGTGGGTTCAGTGGGTCATTTTTGACTGAAATCAACACATATCAAGTGAATGCCTAACCCCCCCCCCCCTCCAAAAAAAGTTAAAAAAGATATTGAACCACACAACTCAAATGATCTAGATTTCTAATGGCAAAGAAGGAAAGGAGTATGAAAAAGGACATTTTCTTTTTTTTGGTTTGTTTCTGAAAGTGTTGGATATGAGTTCTGTGAGTTTTTAACGTCCATTAGCCTGCCATGTGGCGCTCGCTCGCTCCTTTGTCTGCCCCGGTCTGCGCTTCGTGAAACCAGTGGCATAGAAGAGTAATGGTGACTGTTTTTGTTCTGTTTTAGACTTGTGTCTCTTTGGGAAAAAAAGGTAAAGAAAAGCCAGCTTCAGTTCGTAGCCGCCCTGTAGAGCTCTTATGCCATTTTTTTAGCCTTTTATTTTAGCATTGTGTTGGACTCCACGGTCTTACGTGTTCTTTCAGTCCTTTACTAGCTATTTTGGCCTATTTTCCATTACAGATTATGAGTCTTTACAAAGAGTAGAGGAAAGATAAAGTAAGGCAGAAAATCAGAGGTTTATCAAAATCTAACATGCTGTTATGGAGTCGTGCTTTAGATTCAGTATTCTAGAGTTTGTTTTTGGTATATATCTCTATTTTTTTGCTTTCCAAACTGTACGATGCCCAAATGATGGACAGACACTGTGTGAAGAAAATGTCAGTGATTGTTTTATTGCAACCTATGGATTGCCAAAGAGCCTTGTATGTGCACGGTAGGGCTGCGGGGATTAAGAGCGATGAGTCGTCACGCCGCTTATCCACCACTTTACCCTTCTAAACAAAGGCCGCTCAAAGATGAAAGGCGAAAGAAAGACTACAGGAGGAGAACGGAAATCGCACTGTCGACTTTTTCGGACACACAATCGAGCCTTAAGCTAACTACAGTATACGCTGTATCGGAGGACAGCCATCGAGGAGGGCCAGTGCTGCTGGAGAGACTGATAAACAGGAGGAGGCACACACACACACACACACACACACAGGTAGAGAGGAAGACAGAGGCAAAGACAAATAAATGGTTGTGTTTACATGCAAGTGCCAAATGTGTTATTCAAAAAAAATACCAAGCAATCGATCATTTAGCCTAAACTGAGCCTTTCTTACCTTTCTTAAAGGTATCTTCGACAGCTGATAGCATCCCAGGTGTGTTTCTGCTGTTGTGTTTCTATTTTGTTTGTATTTCATGCACGCAATTGAGTCACAAAATAAAGAAATGTTATTGGTGGCAAAACATTTAGTGAGACTGCAAAAGAAAAAGCAGGTAAACGTGCAAATTTGACAAAAAACACAGGTTTTACTTTGTGATGCAACACGTGAAAAGCAGGATAAAGATGCAGCTTCTATCACAGGTTTAATCATTTATGAAAGTGCTGCAAATGAATATCTAACCGAATCAACGCCCAGTAATTTGTTTGACATTTCTAAAAAGAAACCATGTTTGGTTGGAGTCCTGCCGACTCGAGGTCGGCTTTAATATTCCCCGAAGTGCTCTAACAAAAAAACACTGATGTTAAAAATATCTGCAAACCTTGTGTTCAGACAGAGAAAAGTTTGGGGAAATATAGATTTTTCTAATGCAAACTTCACTTGTGTTATTTAAGAAATTACTGAGCATAATTAATATTTTTTAATAGAAGAAAATCCATCCACAAAGTTTCAACTGGGAACATTAAATCAACTTTAATTAAATTAATATCCAATCCAGTTATTCTGTGCATGTGAGCGTATCCAAAGACTGCGAAAGTAAAGAGCAAACAAAATAAAAGATAGAAGATGAGCGTGAGGAGGACAGGTGGACGATGAGAGACACACACGACTTCAGACTGGAGGACTAAACGTTGAACTCCGCCTCTTTCTTTTACAGATGAAACCTTAATCCTAGGAAGTAGGTTTTGATTTTATTTTGAACCTGTGAAATATCACGTTGTTATCTTCTACGGTGTAAACTCAAAGAGCAGAGGAAACGGGGGGGATGTAGGAGGAGAACGTGTCGCGCTCGGTGCATCTTTGCCTGCAGCCCCCGTTCTTTCTCTCTGTCTTCCTCTCTCCTCTTTCAAGGGCACGCATCGATATAGCCAGGAGGCCTATTAAGGAAACAAAGAAGATGAAGGGAATAGTAAAAGGTGTTGAAAGAGAGATGAAGGAAGGGAACAATGGAGGGAGACGGAGAGTTTTCTGTCCATCTAACTGTGTTTTCATTGGACTGTTTTCCAAGTGCCTTGGAGCTCTCTCATTATGTCTCTCTTGCTTGCTCTCTCTCACTCTTTCTCTCTCCCAACTGATATCTTACTCTCTCTGTCTCACACACACACACACACACACACACTGTAAACATGACTAGAGAATATATTGCAACAGTTCTATATAAACAATGAGACACACACACTCATGAAGTTGTCTCTCCTCCTGCGTGACTTTACTCACTCATTCCTTCTGGAAGTCCACATAGTATTACCTCTTCTGTCTCGATGGACACACACACACACTAATGACAGACACACATATGTACACTACATCAACACAAACCTACGGCACTGGCCAGATTATTCAAACTGTTGTTTGTAGACTTTGTACAGAAAAATTTCTTTTTTTAATGTTATTATTATTATTATGATTATTATTATTATTATTATTTAATAAAGGCTAAACAACATGTAGTCTGGTGTTTTGTGTTTATTTATATTCATATGTATACATTCATATATACATACATACATAAAAGAAATTTCCATCACATGTGCAAAAGTCTTGAGCCAGCGTCTCTATATTCTCTGTATTTTGCTTTTTCCAAGGATGCAGACTCATTTAAACTGGTCTTGATGGTCCAGGCTCTCTGGAGGGCTGTTAAAGTTTTTCTGTGGGCACTGGCTTTCCCCCCACTCATGTTTAGTCTAGTCCTCCTGCCTGAGCATTTTCAAAAGAATGTCTACTTGCTTGTTAAGACAATTAACTCTGGACTATGAATCATTCAGGGATTTAAAAAACACACCTACGAGATGGGATGAACTGGTGTTTTGTCTACACATAAAACCCAGAAATCTTAGCAAAGAACAAATTTGAAATCATATTTTCAGGCACCTAAAAACCTAAAAGTCACGTCCTTAAGAAGCAGGAAAAAACCAGCAAGGACCTGAGATCTGCATTTGGACCTTCAGCTGATCCATCTGCTGTTCACTGAAGCCTCATCAGAAATCATCTGAGCGGAAAGGCAGCTGTCAAGAAGCCAAGTTACACAAAAACTGAACTCAACTAGTTTGTCATGATTTGCTGGGCAGCTAGTTTTATATTACAAGATCATTCAGAGATTATTAGCATTGCAGCTGACGGCCTGGCTCTCCATCCTTCTCTCCAAATGTAGTTACTCCTGGTGTAAAAACAATAATAATAATGTCTCTATTTTGACATTATTAAAGCTTAATTTTGCATATTATGCTAACATTTGTTCATTGTTATTAGGCCCAGCTGCAGCTGATAGGACGTTCACTAGCTCACATGCATTTTATTATTGGGTATTACATCACTGAGGGGTCTCCATGAACAGATCAGAGCTATGCTGGCTGTATGAACACCTCCACTTGTTGGACATGTGCTGCAGCAGGATGAGTGGAACAAAAGCAGGGCTGAGCTTCACCAAATGTAACTGAGCTGCTGAGAAGTGAAGAGGACGCAGAGGTCAGAAGGTGTTATGAACCACAGACGTCTGTGAGCACGTGAACGAGCCAGCAGACAGAGAAACCAGCGCTGCCTCTCCTGGTTCCTACGCTCCCTCTCTCCTTCACCTCCACCCTCACACTTTGTGTCCTAAGGCTGTTTTGGAGTTTGTACCCGTGAGAGGGCAAAGAAGGAACGATCAAAGATTCTCTTCATTTAATCGAGTCGTGAAAGCTTGCTCCTAATTAACACGCACCCATGAAAACACACCAAAGCACACACGCCTGATGGAGACTAGCTGGAAGATCACAGCAGGAAATTTGTCACCCACTCAAATAATTTATCTTAACAGTGAGAGTACTGATGGGCCCAAAGTGACAACAGTTTTGGATAACTGCCTTACAGTTGGGCACGGCATGCATTGTGTGCAATTACAAGAGTGTGTGTGTGTGTGTGTGTGCATCATAAAGCACCAGATTTAAGACGGAGGCAGCACACCAGCAGTTTATATGAAACCACAGTGAGAGAAGGTCCAATATAGGAAAACCATTTCTCCTGCACTGCCCAACATCCCTGACCATCTGCTCCCCTTTATACTGTTTTTAATTGGCTGTAACTCTGTGCAGTACGACTGAAGTTTGCTCTTAGCCTCGTGTAATTAGCTCAGAGAGCCGTTACCACTGACCTGTCGGCATCAGCATTTCTTTCTCTTCTTTCTTCTCATCGCTCCTGCCCTCATTTATTCATCACTCCATCGTTTCACTGTTTTTCTTCTTCTCGGGAGACAGACCTGGTTCTCACGCTTTCTGCTGACATAAAAACACACAACAGCACACGCATGAACACAAGTCAAAGTTTCTGCACGAGCACTGAGCCAACGCTCTTGAACAGAGGCTCATGCAAACTCAAGTGTACCAGTGTGAACGTCTGCAAGCCTGTAGATTCACACACACACACTTTGTACTCACACTTCAGGCGTGTCTCTTGTGGTTGGCATTTGCTGAGAGTGTAACCTACTAACACAGATTTTAACTCTGCTCAGAAGCACGAATCACTGATCACACACACAGGACATATTCCATGTTTCATCGTTTTGTTTCTCTTGATCAAAACCAAAAGTTTCTGGATGGAACTGGAGGTGTTCTGGTGATTGATAGCAAGGCAATAAATCAGACAAAGAAATGGGGAACAAAGAATGTTTTAAATAGTAATAATATGTTCATATGATATTGTTTGATAGTGCTGAAATTGTTTTCTAAAAAATAAAGAAAAAGCCAGTTTGTCTTGGACTAATTGGACCTTTACAATAGATGCTTTTTTAAAGTTTGGTGTTATTACCGAGTAAAGCTCAGTCTGGATGTCCTTCTCTGGCTTTGATAAGTTTGCATTTAGATATCATGGAGGCAGATGCCCCACAACTGGTACCTAACTTCTACTTTTTTCTCCTCTGTGCTGAATAGCGTGCATCAGCAACTGGCAGCCCTGTGCATACAGTAAGTCTGTGTTTTTACTAGAAGACAGTAAAACCGAGCTGCTAGGTGAACCGACTCTGCATTGCATAAAACTGTTCCAGCTGTTGGCTCGGGTTGCTTACGTGCATAAATCCATACTCAAGGATCAAATGGACGAGCAGAAATCCAGCGGCTTTGGGAACATTTTTCTTTAACCCAACACGGCAGCAACAACCCCAATAAACAAAATCATATCAGTAAAAGGAAGGTGCATTAAATAGTTCAATTTTTGGCCGTATTACGACCTCACACATCACCCCGTGAGCTTGCATTCTTATGTGTGTGCAGAGCAGCGATGTGCACTGTGCAGAAGGACATTTATCCTTTTCAGCTTTGTTGGAAGTGTAGATAAAAACATGTATTATAACTGTTCCCTTAATAGCCTACAATAACTTCTCATTTATAGACATAATCATTTCCATTGCACTTTATATGATTATCATATCGACTGAATAAAGCTGCAATGATATTTTAGAGGAGTGGACAGAACAGAAAAGGATATTTAAAACAATGCAGTAGAAATCTGATTTGCATGCTTTAGTCTCTCTTGCTAAATCAGATTTTGGCATTTTGTAGTGGACAGAAAGGAAGTTAAGTGCAAAATATTTTCTTTACCATATAAAATCAATTCCTCCCCACCTGGGTGGGCGCCTGGTGAGACGGTCTTGGCAGCTTCCAGCACCCTGCTCTGCTAATGTCCCAAACTCACTGGCTGCACGCTGCTAAATCAAATTATGTTTCATCAGACAAAAGCTTTTCTTTTTTTTCCTCGCTACACATGTCCAAATAAGATTGCTGTAAATCTAATCACAGCATAAGGTTTATTGCTTTCTGATTTCTGGCTTTTTATTTGTTTGGCCTCCTGCCAGGTGCTGGCAAGTGTGCCTGAAAAAGTAGCCAAATTAAAAAGTTGCAGTAAACTGAGGGACTCACCTGAGTGAATTGGTTGTGTGAAATAAAATGGTTTTTGTCTTTATGTCTCTTTGATAACAAAAACTAAGCCAAATTGCAGAAGCAGCGAGTCAAAAACAAAGTACACCTGGACTGCAACCAGGTGATGCTATTCACATGCACTAATTAATCATCATCAGTAAGTGTGGGCACCTGGATGAAAGCAGATGTTTTGGCAGTTTGGAAAGACATCTGAGAGAAGCAACTGTTGCTGTTCATCAAGCTTATCAGGGTTATAAGGTCATTTATAAACCGTTAAAGTCCATCGTTGTGCAGTAAGAAAGATTATTGCCAGGTGGAAACCATTCAAAACAGCTGCTAATCCGGTCTTTAAGTGATGACGTGTGAACTCTGCTTTCTGGTCCAAACTACAAGGCTGTTGTGTTTTTAACATGTTTTAATGTTTTGTGTTTAATCTGAACAAGCCCCTAAAAACAGTCAGTGATCACTGTCGGCCTCTCTCAGTTTTTATTACCACTGTTCATTTTAAAGCTCAGTTTTTAAACCCTTACAATGAAACTACAGCCCATGCAGCAGTATATTAATGACTAACCTTGTATTGTGGATGGATTATCTCAGTGTTCTCCTGACTGAAGTTTGGTACGTTTACAGCAGCGGTCCCCAACCTTTTTTACGCCATATGTCCGACAATATTTTCACAGACCGGCCTTTAAGGTGTCGCGGATGAATACAAAAAAATAAATCCACTCACAAAATGACTCACGGACCTGCCCGGGTGTTGGTGACTGCTGGTTTACGGCATCCTGCCATGCAACTGCATTTGTCCCTAACCATTGGGAACCCTCACGTTAACTTTTATCAAGTGGAAAAAAGTTAGCATTCGTCCTCCAGCTTCACTGTGTTTATGCTATGCTAACATAGCTGTGTAGCTAGCCACCACGTAGCACATAATTATATACCAGCTAGCCCAACTTCAGTAACCCTACAAACGTCACTGCTGTTTAGTTTTCTGTCTTCATTTATGTTGGAAGTGATAGCAGAGCTGTACGTTTGAATTTTTCAGAAATCTCTCAGTCAAAACATGCTATATCATGTTTAGGTGGAAGCTAGCGAGCTAACTTCCTGCTAACTTCTAACTCTGTTAAACTTCATAAATTCTGTTTTCATGGATGTTAAACTTAATAGTTAAACCTAGTAAAGCAGCAACGCTGATCATTTTATTAAAGATGAAAGAATTTAGACAGTTTTTAACTCTCAGTGATGCCACAGTGTTTGTTTGACTTTGGGACCTGAAGCGGAGTTTGGTCCCGGAAACAGCTAATGACGTCAGACTTAAAGATCCCAGGATTGGACGTCCCATCCAATTCAGCCGGAAGTCACACCGTGCACTGCTCAGAGAAACTGAGAAAAAACCCCAGAGCTCCATCTCAGACTCTACAGACCTCAGTTAGCATGTTAAAGGTCAAAGACAGCACAAGTAAAAAAAAGACTGAACTTGTTTAGAAGGGCTTCCAGTTGACCAATAAACTGTTTCATCAAAACAAGATGATAACTAAACAAAAACTAACGCACGAGGACA